CTGGTTCTTAAGAGTTTTTTTAATCTAATATTAGCCTTTTGTCATTAAGGCTAATATACATCATTTGCCTTTTTCTTTAAGGTATTTTTATGTCAGAAAATTTAAATTTTGATGTTCAGAAGTTTTTAATTTTGCATATTTTCTCAATAATAAAATCACTCAGAATTCCAAATTACTGACTTATAACTGGGCATTTGAAATATACCCAGTTGTACATGTAGGGTCTTATATACTAGCTACTTCATGGTATGTTTTCATATCTTTTCTGCATGTAAGTTCCTTGAAAGTACAGGCCATGGCATTTCTTGAATGCCCTACAGCAACCAGCTCATAACCCAGAACATAGCAGAGCTCCAAAGGTCTGAGATGAAAAACAATTATGTCTGGGATCTGCTTTGAAGCAATCCAGTTTGGCATAGGAGATGAAAATAGGGTAAAGATGAAACAGAATCAGCCAGATGTTAATCATTGTTGAAGCTGGGTGATGGGTACATGGGGTTCATTATATTATTATTTCTACTTCTGTGTATACACACACACACACACACACACACACACACACATATATATGTACTTTTTATATACATATATGTACTTTACTGTCTGAGCCACCGGGGAAGTCCTATATACACACACACACATATTTTTACAGAGGCAGGTGAGAGGCACATGTCTGTAGCTTGCAGAATCTTAGTCCCCTGATGAGGGATCAAACCCATGCCCCCTGCAGTAGAAGCCTGGAGTCTTAACCACTAGACCACCAGAGAACTCCAGCAACTTTTCTGTATATTTGAAAAGTTCCATAAGCAAAGGGATTTTTTTTTAATGTTTGCTTGATTGATTGGCCAACAGCATCAGAGAGGGGACTTCTGGAATAACAATGGCGATGCAAATTAATTACATATACATCAAGGACACTTTTGTAGCATAAAAAGGTTAAGAGCACAGGCCTTGAAATTAGGTAGACCTGGGTACAAATCCTTAGTGACCTTGAACTTATTATTTAACCCCTCTGAAACTCAGTTTTCTGGCATAAATAAGGGTATTAATAACTACCTCAAAAGGTTCTAGTAAAGATTGATGAGTGTAAAAATCAATGCCTGGCAGCAAACAGCACTCAATAAAGAGTTGCCATCATAATTATTCAGTGATGCACAAGCTTGACAAGCCAATATCCCAGTGGTGGTGATCCAGTACCATTCCTCTATGGCTGTGATTTCAGTTCATCATATTGGGCAGCAGACAACAGCTTAGCAGAGGACTTGGAGAACAGATGTTAGGAGTTAACATTCCTGATACCCAGAAAAGAAAGCAGATAGGACCACAGCAAAGGACAAAATCAGTAGCTCTCATCCTTACACAGCGGGTCATCAAAAAGCCTTAACTCCATAGTACAGTGATGCAACCAAGAACAAGAGTGATGAAGCCCTTATAATAGCAGGTCATTCACAACGTGGACCAAACACTGGTATCTCTCTGGAGAGCTTGAAATAATAATAATGTCTGGGTCCCTCACCCAGAATTTGATTTAATGATCTGAGATATGGTCTAGATATCAAGGTTTTTTAAAAACCCAAGGTTCTAATGTTTACCACTTTGCTGTTTGAGTTGGGGTGCAGGGTAGCAAGACAAGAGGTCAAGGGAAAACAAATTAGAGAACAGAGACCACTGTATCCCATATGAACCCCATTAACCTAGTCATGTGGTCCCAAGCTGTGTCCCATGCCAGACAAACCCAGCCCCATGAGGGTCCCCTCCATATACTTCAAGAGCACATTACCGTATAGTAATTCACAGGACTAAAGTATATTATTAACACCAGGATGCATGCATGTCAATAGTCTAAGCAAGGTTGAAATAATGTACCTGGTCTCTGGGTTTTGGTCTTAAGGAAAACAAAAACAAAAAAAGTTCAAGTCAGTGATACGGAGGTTGGGGGAGGCAGAAAAGCATTTTTTTTTTTCTCATAGCCTTTTGGCAGCCTGTCAATGCAATTGAAGCACACTCAAAGAGACAGCCTCATTTTGTGAAGTTATTGCAGCGTCTTTGATCAAGGGAAAAAGCACATCCATTTCAATCACTGTGACGGGGTCGGACTGGCTGTCTGGCTGCCTGGCTGCCCACCGGGGTGAGCCCGCCTCCAGCCCACAGACACATGGCAGCGCTTAGCGTGTCAAACAAACGAGGGGGCTCTTGACTGTTGATCCAACCTCTGCTGAACCTCAGGGGCCCCCACACTTAGCAATTCTGCCCAGGCTAATCTGGAAGTTCCCCTCCCCTGCAAACACCACCTGGTCCAGCCTGGCCTCCCTCAAACAAAAGCTGGCAGCAAACACTTCAGAACCGGGAGGGCAGGGGTCAACCGTTCTCATAAGCAACACACTCAGGATTACAGAAGCCTAGAAAGGGGAAAAAAGGATTCCGCCTCCTCCCTATTACCTTGACCCCTGTCTCAGCCCCAGATGCAGCTGCAAGAGGTTTGATATTCTCCCGCAGACGGGGGAGAATTTTCAGCACAAAGATCACCTGGATTCTTTTCACTAGAATAAATGATAAAGAATCCATGGAGGAAAGGTTCAACAGATTTTCTTTTTCTTGGGTGACATCGTCTGTAACATCCTGAGAAGATCTGAGTAACAGAACCAGAGTAGAGATGGGGCTAATGTTGACAATGGCAGATATTTATACAGTATTTATGCGTTCCAAGCATTTTACGTGTGTTGACTCATTTAATCCTCATCACTACCTTATGAGGTAAGCTACAGTAATACTCAATAGTAATAATAACAGTAACATATAACATGTATAATAATCTGTTGTTGTTTAGTTGCTAAGCCATGTCTGACTCTTTGCGACCCAATGGACTGTAGCCCACCAGGCTCCTTTGTTCATGGGACTTGCCAGGCAAGAATACTGGAGTGGGATGCCATTTCCTTCTCCAAGGGATCTTCCTGACCCAGGGATCAAACCCATGTCTCCTACATTGCAGGTGGATTCTTTACCACTGAGCCACCAGGGAAGCCCATAATAATGATAATTACTATATAAAATAATAATAGAGATAATAATCTCTATTTTTCACTTAAGGAAATTATGACCTAGAGAAATTAAATGATGTGCATGAAGCGGTGGGAGGCTTCACGCCCAGGCTGTCTGGCTCTAGGTGTGGTGTGCTAGCCACAGCACTAGACGGCCTTTCTCTAGTCCACACCTCAGAGCCGCCTTACTGTTTTTTAAACAGGCATTTTTATTTCTGTTGAAAAAAAACAAACCAGTACAATATTCAAATTAAGGAGAGAACTTGACTAAACTCTAAGAATGGAAATTTACTACACATTTGTTTTATGGAGATATGAATTTTAATATTTTTATAAATTCATCTAAAATTTTGCACCACGTGTTTATTTTATTTATTATGATAGCTACATAGTAAAGAGCTACATTTCTGGGAGAATTTTGAGAGGGGATAAAATCAAGATAAAACACGGAATGCTTTGCACGCAGGGGCCGTGCTAATCTTCTCTGTATCATTCTGATTTTAGTACATGTGTCGCCGAAGTGGGCTCAGAGAGCTTCCTTTTAAGCTGCCAGCTCAGAGAACAGCAGAGTGTGGAGGGCTCCGAGGGAGCTTGGGTGCTGGAGAGATTTGAGCATGGCTCCCAGTTCCTAGACCACTCTGCCTCCCGCTGTGGTTGCATCTTCTGTAAATGATGACAGCAACACCTACCTGGCAGGCTCGTGGTGAGACTTAAGTGGGAAGATGAATACAAGCACCTCTCAGAGGGTGGGCAGCCAAGGTCAGTTTAACCTCGTGCTATCAATCTTGGCTAAACATTGGAAACTTTAAAAAACACAAGGCGCCGTCCCTACCCCACCACCTCCACCAGCACTCAGCCTGAAATCAGCAATCCCCTGGGCCCAGCCCTCAGATGAAACCTGAAACCCAGCGGACCAAAGGCCAGCCTCACCCTTTCCCTCCATCCCCACCCCCTCAAAAATTCTGGGACGATTTCCGGGAAACTGAAACTCCTAAGCCCCCGCCTCCAGCCCTCACGTGGCAGAGGTCCCCAAATGACATTACCTTCCAGTGGGAGTCACGCCTGTCCCAAGCAAGGGGCCAACCCACCCTTGTCCAGTGATGCTCCCCACTTTCATCCAGCTGTCTCCGCCCCGCTAGACTGTCCCCACCTCCAGCCTGAAAGCTCTACCACCCGGCTGTCCCATGCTGCCTGCGTTCCAGTCTGTGCCAACTTCAACATAGCCGGCATTACTTTTACCCAACCTCCAGCCAGAAGATCACACAGGATCAGAGGGAAGACTGCCTGAAAGGAGATTTCAGAATCTGAGTGCATGCATACACGAGTGCACACACATGTAGCACAGACACCACATGTGCACATGTGCACATAGATACCATGTACCACACAGCACACACATATGCCACACACACACAAAGACAGCCTCCACACACACATACACAGAAACCATACAACACACACAGAGACACACATGCACACAAGAACCACACAACACACACAAACACCCACCCACAGGCACACATACACCACACACACATGCACGCACTCCACTAACCACAGACACTTCACACGCCAAAGGAGCATGGCTTCAGTTGCAGCTTGGGGCAGGATAAAGAGGTGTGCAGAAGGGGCAGCAATGAACAGTGAAGGGAATACAGAGGCTGCCCATGGAAACCCACGAGGATAAGAAAAAATAACCAGCCTACATTTGATAGAAGAGGAAAACGAAGACGGGCAGCAGGAGGACGGGGACAGAGCACTGCCAGTTTCCTGGCTCCATCTCGCACAAGCCTTTCAGGACCCACTGCCAGCAGCGGGCACCCCGTGGCAGGGGGCCCCGGGAGGGTGACACAGGCCCCGGAGTCAGCACGGGGGGTGTCACAGAGCCCTCATCCGTTTCCAGGAAGCAAGGCTCTCGGGGCCCTCCTGCTCCCGGGGCCTGAGAGAGTAGCCAAGGCCTACCTGGGTGAAGGAGCCATCCTCCGTGCACTCCGGGACAAACACCGCCTCCTGGGGCTTCTTGGCTTGCTCCAGGGCCTGAGCCCGCTCCAGGCGGCACTTGCTCTGGCCAGCGTCTAAAAGAGGGAGGTGTGCACGTCAGAGTCCCTTGGACCCCACACAGGAGCCACGGATTCCAGTTGTAGAAATGCTGAGAGAAAAGCACTGTGTTGTGGGGGCCCACACACTGCCACACATCACACACAGACACCACACATGCAGGCAGAAACCACACCACACAAACACAGGCACATATGCACACAGACATAAAAGCTGGCTGTTCCGGGAACACGAGGGCAGGGACTAATGAATGCCCCACAGCCTCACCTGCCTCTCAAAGGTATTCTTAGAAAAAGTCAGGGGGGTCATATTAATACCCGGTTCTGTTTATTCCTTTTCTCCCAAATATCCCCAATCCGTCCTAGGGGAAAAAAGTTCTACTTCTATTATTTTTCACTGACTTTATTTAAAAACATGTAAGCCCAAGGAGTCTCAAAGATGTTCTGCAATTCAAAAACTGCAAGCTCTTTTCTTTTTTTTTTTTTCTGGAGCCACCATAGATTTTTTTTTTTTAATATTTATTTGTTTATTTATTTATGTGACCATGCCAGGTCTTAGTTGTGGCATGTGGGATCTAGTTCCCTGACCAGGGATTGAACCCAGGCCCACTGTACTGGAACACAGAGTCTTAGCCTCTGAACCATCAGAGAAGTCCCCAGCAAGCACTTTCTTTGGGAAATCAGAGGCTCTAGGGCAGTCGGCTTAGCCTCCCACAATTTCTGTAATAGCTCTGATCGGTCCATGGGTCACAAACTCACATACCAACAGGGCGTACGAAAGCGATATAAGTTAGAGAAGGGGCTGGGTGTATGAAGCATGGCGTTCAGCTTGGTGACACCACAGGGAATGCCGGGGACTGTGGCAAACGAGAACAGGCTCCCTTTTAAAGGACGTAGCTGCTACTGAGCAGCAGCCACATGTTTGCCTTGAGGGAGGGAACCCAGACCTCATATCCCCACAGTTTCCAATTTTTTATGGGAAATACAAACATCCAGATTTTTAGGTTGAATTTCCTAATTTTTAAATGTTGTCTCAAACGTTTTTAATATGTTTAAATGTGTGAGCAGACCAAACAAAACACATGTGTTGGCTGTCAATGTGGAATCCCTATTCAAGAGAGCCAGCCATCATGTTTTGCCATTTTAAGCCTCTCTACAAAAAAAAAAAAGAATTATAAAAATTAAAAGCAATAGCCAAATAGCAGCATCTCTCTAGGCCCTGGTGGCAGTGTTTGAAAGCCAGAAAAGTACTTATCTTTCAACAGACCCGTCCTCCCTGCCATATTGCCTGGTGGAAAGGGTAGGGGGAGAGGTTGCCAAATGAACAGACGCATTCTGAGTTCCCCCGATGGGAGTGCCCCATGCAAGGAGTGTGGTGCTCAGGTCTGTCTCTCCTCGTTGGGGCACGGGCACACTCACCTTTGCATCTGCCTCGATGTACCACACCCAGTGTTGGGTCTCGGCACTTAGCTCGCTGGTACTCACACATGGACTCGTAGGACCTGCCGTCGGAAGCACAGACAGGTTTGGGTTGAGTCCTGGAGCAGTGGAGGTTGCACTGAGGGTCACGGTCACTTATGAGAAACTGGGTTGGGGAAAAAAAAAAAAATACCCGGTTCTGTTTATTCCTTTTCTCCCAAATATCCCCAATCCGTCCTAGGGGAAAAAAGTTCTACTTCTATTATTTTTCACTGACTTTATTTAAAAACATGTAAGCCCAAGGAGTCTCAAAGATGTTCTGCAATTCAAAAACTGCAAGCTCTTTTCTTTTTTTTTTTTTCTGGAGCCACCATAGATTTTTTTTTTTTAATATTTATTTGTTTATTTATTTATGTGACCATGCCAGGTCTTAGTTGTGGCATGTGGGATCTAGTTCCCTGACCAGGGATTGAACCCAGGCCCACTGTACTGGAACACAGAGTCTTAGCCTCTGAACCATCAGAGAAGTCCCCAGCAAGCACTTTCTTTGGGAAATCAGAGGCTCTAGGGCAGCCGGCTTAGCCTCCCACAATTTCTGTAATAGCTCTGATCGGTCCATGGGTCACAAACTCACATACCAACAGGGCGTATGAAAGCGATATAAGTTAGAGAAGGGGCTGGGTGTATGAAGCATGGCGTTCAGCTTGGTGACACCACAGGGAATGCCGGGGACTGTGGCAAACGAGAACAGGCTCCCTTTTAAAGGACGTAGCTGCTACTGAGCAGCAGCCACATGTTTGCCTTGAGGGAGGGAACACAGACCTCATATCCCCACAGTTTCCAATTTTTTATGGGAAATACAAACATCCAGATTTTTAGGTTGAATTTCCTAATTTTTAAATGTTGTCTCAAACGTTTTTAATATGTTTAAATGTGTGAGCAGACCAAACAAAACACATGTGTTGGCTGTCAATGTGGAATCCCTATTCAAGAGAGCCAGCCGTCATGTTTCGCCATTTTAAGCCTCTCTACAAAAAAAAAAAAGAATTATAAAAATTAAAAGCAATAGCCAAATAGCAGCATCTCTCTAGGCCCTGGTGGCAGTGTTTGAAAGCCAGAAAAGTACTTATCTTTCAACAGACCCGTCCTCCCTGCCATATTGCCTGGTGGAAAGGGTAGGGGGAGAGGTTGCCAAATGAACAGACTCATTCTGAGTTCCCCCGATGGGAGTGCCCCATGCAAGGAGTGTGGTGCTCAGGTCTGTCTCTCCTCGTTGGGGCACGGGCACACTCACCTTTGCATCTGCCTCGATGTACCACACCCAGTGTTGGGTCTCGGCACTTAGCTCGCTGGTACTCACACATGGACTCGTAGGACCTGCCGTCGGAAGCACAGACAGGTTTGGGTTGAGTCCTGGAGCAGTGGAGGTTGCACTGAGGGTCACGGTCACTTATGAGAAACTGGGTTGGGGAAAAAAAAAAAGTGAAATGGTACAGGGGTTACTTTTGCAAGAAAAGTAAAGATGAGTTCACAATTTACAATACTAACTTGCCTTTGGGAAGCAAGTCCAGAATAATTAATTCCAAAGTTATTAAACCCTAGAAGTAGTAGGAAACCAAGTGACCACAAACTCTAACCAAGGAAGGCATCCCGTACTCAGGAACTCACATGCAGGACCTAATTAAATCTCACAACAACCCTATGAAATAGGAACCACCTATTTCGTAGATAAGAAAACTGAAGCCTAGAGAGAGGTAACTTGCCCAGTTTCACACAGTTCTAAGTGGTGAATCTGAACCTAGACTGGTCAGAGGTCAAGTCCAAGCTTTCACCACTGGGAAATTCAGCCTCTGGTCCACACTGATGGTCTCTGCACTTGGCCCTATTTGGATACCTCCCCAAACCAGGAATGCACCAGGAATTTCTACTCTCCATCTTTGGAAAGTTTTATTGTCTAGAAAGTATTACCGAGCCCCCAAATCTATCATCCTTCCATTTCTGCTCACTGCTCTCTGTCAGAATACAGGTTAAGTTATTTTCTATTCTTCACCCTTCTGTTTCTGCCCACTGCTCTCTGTCAGAATACAGGTTAAGTGATTTTCTATGAGAAGGCAATTTGCTAATTTAACATAAACGTCATCATCAGATTGTGAAATGCTGAGTTAAAGTTTTCTTTACGGCAGGACTTCCCAGACACCTTTGGTACATTCTTATGCATTATTAATCTCCCAGAGGTACAGTAAATTAAAGATAGATGGCTCTAAAGTATTTGCTACTCTTCCGGTTGAGTGTGGAGTCTTCCCTTGAACCTGGACTGGCCTCAACAACTTGCATGACCAATAACACACTGTGGCAGCGATGTTGTCCAACTTCTGGGCAAAGTCACGTGAAGCTTTGCAGCCTCCTCCCAGGTCTCTTGCAACACTCAGGCTGGGGGAAATCAGCCACCAGGTAAGAAGCCCAACACTGAGACCATCATGCTAGGAGTAAGCCCAAGCTAGCAAGGGGCAAAACCGAGTGGAGAGAGAAATGCCCAACAAACACAGCACAGAGATGTGTGAGTGAAGAAGCCTTCAAATGAGTCTCACTTCAGCAGTCAGTAGATTGTAACTAATAGAGATGAAAAGGAGTAACTGCTTGAGAGACCCCCGCCCAAGCAAGACCCGCCCAAGCAAGACCCGCCCAGCTGAGCCCAGTCGACTCAGCAGAACTGTGAGAGATAATGATGTTATGTCATTAAGTTAAAATTCCTTTTGTTGAAGTGCAGTTGATACACAATGTTTCGGGTATGCAGCAAGCCATTAAGGTTTGAGTAGTCTGAAACAGAGCAATAGCTAACCAGATCAAGAGCATATATGATTCTGTATCTCTCAGACTTATTTGACTACGAACTCCCTTCTCAGTGAACCCCTGTTCACAACTGTAGGATACAGCTGGAAAACAATAACTGGACTCTACAATCCATGAGCTGCTGTTGAAGAACCCATGATTAGACTGCATGGGCCTTGAGAGCTGGATCCACTCTTTCAACCCTCTATAGCAGAGCTCGGGACACAATGAAGGCTCTTGGGCAGGATGAACCGAGAGAATGAAAAAGCCCATCATGGCACATGGCAATGTCGTGAGCACACCTCTGGCCATCAGTGATGTTAGAGATGACTACACACCACGCTCATAGAGGCTTAGGGAAGGTATGACTACAGGCCCTATTTCTATCTGCAGGCCCTATTTCTATCTGCAGGCCCTTCATGTAAAGCAAATAGATGAGAACTTGTTGATCCTTTTCCAGAACATCCAAAGGAGGTCCAGAGGCAATACCCCTCCCTTCAAAGGAGCACACGGCCCATACTGGCCAAATCCAAAGAGAGTCCAAGCCTGTCACTGAACACACAGACCGCCTCCCAGCTGTAAACCCAGTCCCTCCCGCTCTCCTGACCACACGCTTGCGTGCCGGCTGCTCGGCAGAGGGAAGCAGCAGCTGGACTGAGACCACCCTGCACACACAGGCTTATCAGGACGGACAGCACAACTAAACCTCTCTTCAGATCTTCTGGATGGCCACACTCACGCATCCAGCCTGAGTCCTGCCCAAAGCTCAAAGGGAATGTGAGCTTTCCTGAGAGTGTCTCAGTGTCCCCAGGTAACATACGGTGGCTCAGCAGGTAAAGAGTCCACCCACAACGCAGGAGACACAGGAAATTCAGGTTCAATCCCTGAGTCTGAAAGATCCCCTGGAGGAGGAAATGGCAACCCACTCCAGTATTCTTGCCCGAAAAATCCCACGGACAGAGGACCCTGGCGGGCTATAGACCAACGGGTCACAAAGAATTGGACAAGACTGAGCGACTAAGCACATCCCCAGGTAAAAAATCTGTCGTATATAGAGTCATCTCCCAGGTTGCCACAGAGGGGGGATGAGAGGATGGAGAGCGGCAGGCAGTGTCATCCACACTTCAAACCCCTGGGTGGTGCCCCTCTGTCCCCGGGGATCTTCACAGGGTCTCCTGCCCTGGCAAATCTGACCCCTTCTCTGGCCTCAGCTCTTCCTGCTCTGACCTCAACCTGCTCACTGCTTAGTAGGGCACACTGGCCTGCCTTCCAGGTCCCATTTGCTCCTAACCCCAGGCCTTTATTTTTATTTAACATTTTCTTTTCTTTCTTCTTTATTCGACTGTGCCAAGTCTTAGTTGCTGCATGCAGGATCTAGTTCCCCGACCAGGGATCGAACCCCAGCACCCTGCATTGGGAGCCCAGAGGCTTAGCCCCTGGACCACCAGGAACGTACCCCGCCTCCACCCCCGCCTCAGGCCTTTAGACATACCATTCCTTCTCCCTTTCCTCCTGCCGCTGCTCAGACTTGGGCTCGCCTGGGAGGTTGTCCCTGACTCTCACAGGTGAGGACGGGTCCCCCTACAAGAACTTTTCACACCTCACTTTTCCTTCAGGGCTTTTACCACAGTTTGAGGACAAACTGATTTGTGGGATTTGATTAGCAATGGAATCCCCCACTCTGAGCGACAAGAAGACAAGGAGACTGTCTCTTTCAGCCTGTAAACATATCTCTGGCATCCAGTGCCATGCTGGGGTGCCTGATTATTTGGGGGACAAACGCATCCCTGCAGCAGCCTTTCCCACATGGCATTACCTGCAAACCAGCTGGTGTGAAGTGACAGGCCTGGTCTCCCAAGCTCCTGCCATCCCTGGTGGGAAGGGGAGTGGGGGGTCACTGGGCCACTCCCCTACCCCACCCCCAGGCCCTCCTCTCTGAGTTTCCCCCTCCCTCCCTCAGAACACTATGGGCCGAGGTGGGCCACTGCCTCCTGCCCTAGCTCCTCTTCAGAACCTCGTTATCTCTGAGGCTGAGAGATGGGTCTCCTCTCACCATCCCCACCCCAGGCCCCTCTGCCACTCCTGCCTTCCCAGCCTTGGACCGACGGGCAACAAGGAAAAACTGGGAACCAAAGGCCAACCGAATGATGCAGGCTTAGAAGCCCTGGTCGTGGGCACCTGGGTGGGTACAAGACCCAGTGGGCTGCAACCAGCAAAGCTGGCCTCGAAGTCTCTCTCCCTCCCTCAGACCCATTCCTAATCGGTCTGCAGCCTGGAAATGCAGCCAGACCTGGCTCCGTCATTCTGCCTGGTGAGCAGCTGGCGCCGGCCAGAGGGCGGGACCAGTGCTCTCACGCCCTGGCTTGCAGGCTGACCGGTGGCCTCAAAACTGTCCCAGAGCAGGTCATGACACTGCTGTCCCACCGTTCTCTCCTGGTCCATGGGAGTCAGGGTTACTTTACATGAAGTGAGAGCAACCTTGCTGTCAATCTGCAGGAGCTAGGGAACGGCTGACTCTCACAATCACACAAGGATGGAAATATCAGTATCTTCCAACACCTGGGGGAAGTGAAGGAACTCATCCTTGGTCACAGAGGGATTTGGTAGCCAGACCTTGTCTGAAGAGTGATAAGAGCTGATAATAATATATCACTTACCATACATTAACTAATGTAACCTCCACAGTAGCCCTAAGAGGCAGGGTACGTAATGTGCGTGTCAGTGCTGAACTTGACACCCGGGGCCTGGCTCCAGAGCTACAACTTCTAACCATTAGACCACACTGCCTGGCATTACGATAGAGAAACACTGCAAACAGAAACTCTAACCCAAATGAAAAACCGGATTCCGTTTTGGATTAGCAGATACAAACTGCTATACTTAAAACAGATAAATAACAAGGCCCGAATGTACAGCACAGGGAACTACATTCAATATCTTATAATTAACTATCACGAAAAACTAAACAAACAAAATGGATTTCCAAGTCAAAAACTGTTTACCCAAGAGCTTACTGTAAAGCGCCAACTGCTGAAGACTCAGCTACGACAGCCCTGCCCTCCAGGCACTTTAAACCTACCCTAAGTAGCTCCTCATAAGGCTCTCTTCACCTTCAAAAAAAGGGATTGAGCATTGCCTCGCTGTCTCCTCTGTAGCTCACAGGAGAGGGGAGATACAGGCATCCCTGTGGTGGTGAACTGTGGGCCATAAATTTGGTTTGGAAATGGCTTACTTTGGACCAACAGAGATGCCACGGCAGCTGTGCCAGAGACCTGCTTCATAACTTGGGGAGCACAGCCTAGAGATGAACAGGTTAAAGGCAGCTTCAGAATAAGCTCCACCTGCCCTCCCCTCTCCCCAAGATCCTTCCTGGCTTCAGAAGAGCTCCCAAAAGTGTCCATCTAGAAATGACTGGCCCCCAAGGCCAAGTAAAAAAGTAACAGAACAGCCGAGGACCATTGCTAAAGACCGTCTCCAGTCATTTATGGTGTCTCATCTTTATCTATTTTAGGAACTGCGGGAGTTTGTGACTGCTTTCCCAAAAATAGATGAGTTCTATAAAATGGAGGTTTTTTTTTTATTCAGGTATAGTTGATTTACAATATTGAATAAGTTTGTGGTAGAAAATACA